AGAAAGAAGCCCAGATGAAAGCACCTAGCTCATAAAACAGAAATACAATTTCTTGGCTAACTCAGCCCTACAGAGTTTTTTTAAGCTAATAAACAGGGCAATTCATAGATGCAACTGTATTTATTCTTTCTGCCATAGTTAATTTGATCTCTTTGGAACCAAAGACAAAAACTAGTATAGATTAAGCTACATGCAAACTGGAACACAGGGCTTCTACAATTCACTGCTATAAGAAAGAGAGACACAAACTTGACTGTTGTTCCGCATAATAATCCCTTGTCACTACCTCATTTAGACTGTGTCACCCACACTGACTCTACAAAATGCACGTCCGCATTTTGTAGAAAAGAAATGAGGAAAAGTATAGTAACTGGATGGTGTGCAAATGTTGGGTACACTGAATCAGCACAGCCAATAGATACTTCTGAAACACGCTGAAAACAGCCAACATTCCAAAAATGTCTGACACCACCCACAGTGTCACAGAACTAAAAACAATGGTATGAAAATGGTTTGATAGAATATTATTAAGGTACTCTTTGCTTTTAAAAAATCTAATTTCCTATGTATAACAAAACAAATGCAGTAAATTCACATTGCACTTAGCTTCAAGAATTCCATGAAGGAGTTAACTCTAAAAGCATGTTCAGAAACTTCAAAGCTTAGTACTAAGATAATTCGGTTTAAGTTATCTGAAAAGGAAACAGCTTTCTTGAATAAATCTTGTTAGTCTAGCTATGGCAACCATTACAACAGCATTGTTTATTTTATGTCTTACACAAAAGAGAAAGGTGGGTTTTATGTTGTTTTAAAAGACTGCCCAATGCCGAAGATGGAGTCGCTAGCTGATGTGATCTGAAGCAGAACTAATCTGCCAATTTTTTTAAAAAAGAAGTCTGCCTGGGAGCCAGTACAGCCTCAATTTTTTCAGTATTAAACCCTACGAAAGAGCCTGGTAAAATAGTGCTGCATTTAAAAAGCAACTGAGAACTTCCCTTTACATCACAAAGCAACCTGCTACAAGCACATGCAAAGACATACAAGAAGCTGAATAACAGAACGAATTCGCTATACCTCTTTTATGCAACTCTCTCAACGGAATGCCGTCTCCTCCCCCATCGTATGGTAAATAAGGATCAGAAGATACGTCCATGAGCGTAATAAAGAGAGGCTTGTAAAATCAGAACTGAACCATTTCTTAAAGAATAGCAGCAGGCTGGGAAGCTGCCATATTCGATCAGGATTTGGACTGTGGGCTGGCTTGTTGCAGCAACCTGGTTCTTCCACAATCGATGATGTCATCAAAGGGAAATTATTGCAGGCTGGTTGCTACTGGCTACAATCTACGAGTGCTTAAAGGTGGAACAGCAGACTTCATCTATAAAGCCTGCTATGCCTGAAGGTGACTAAGGCAGAAGTAAAGCACAATAAACTGGTTTAGGAGAATATAAACTAAATGAAACCACACAAACTGACACTAATGTAAAATTTCTACACTGAAAAGGCAGCCATGTTTGCCCTTCAGCTTGTTCTTTATATCAATCCAAATAATTCAATTTTATGACTCTTCAAAAAAAGTCTGATCTGATTCATACTGCCATATTTTAAATGCATAAATGTATATGTATGAACAGTGATAATAGCTCAAATCATAAAACAACACAGAAACTGAGAACATGTTTTTTGTACTCAAAAAGTGGGGAAACTACAGAGATAGAATAGGTTTGAAGCAGCAACCCTAGACAAATTTACAAATTGCAATGAAGTTGGTGAGAATTACTTCCAAGTATACAACCAAGTAATCAGGTTGCATATTAGCTTCCCATAAGTACATCCTTCACTTTGCTATCTGGTTTGCAGATGTGTGATACACAGATCAGCACCAACATGTCACAATCTTTACAAAAAGATAACATCTCAAAAAATACTTAATATACGTATTCTTAGAAATGTAATAAAAATGAATTGAACTGCTAAGTCTGTGTTCAGTGAACATGTGTTTTAGCAAAAACCAAACACTTCAGAAATGATTTTGGATATGAGACTTTAGATCTCTCTAAAGCAATTCTGTATGACACAGTTTTCATGTACACTAATTAACATACCTGAAGTCATGAACAGCAGAAAACCAAGCATTTGCTTTGGTCTTGACAATGTTTCACTAAGAAAATACCTGTGCTGGCTTTTCAGCACATATACTACAAATGAAGCAATATCATGCCCTACCATCTACCTATTACTATACATAACTTTCCCCTCAATATTTTGAATACTAACATACAAATTGCAGGCAATTCAGCAGGAAGAGCTTATTAACAAAGAGAAGACAATTGATAGCAAAACAGTCTAGGGCCTACATGCTGTTAGAGCCTGCACTCTGCATTAGGGCTGGATCCATGAAATCAACTCAAGTCTCTGTGAAGGAGGTTGCTTCAACTTTTTGAGAGGAGGTGATTGCCCCTACTGTGTAAAATGCCATAAGCTGGCCTTCCTGCCCTCCTTCTAAGCAAATCAGGACAAAGGCTGTCTTCAAGTCTTTATTGTCTTGATATTATCTTTATTGCCTGAAACACCTGATCTTTCTCTTAGTCCATTCTTTTGACCTGACACTGCATGATTGGACTAACGATACCAAGTCTGCTCCCTCCCATCTTAGTTCACTCACTAGAATTTCTCACCCAACTTGAAACTGTTTCAATTTCTCAGTGACTTCCTAGCTTATCTCTAGGTTCACCAGTCTTGTCATTTCAGCTGTGACTTTAAACTCCTCATCCTCTAGTGAAATCAGAATCCAAGTTGGAAGGCTGTATTATGAGAGGGCCCAATCCCTACATAAAGAAGCTTTTCAAGGAAATAAAGAATAATACCTGTGCACATGACAAATGCTGTATTTGGGAGACACACCCAGAAATGTGGTGCATGTTGTATTTATTTGAAAGAGACTACCACTTAATCAAGCACCCCTTGCATCTTGTTTTTTCAGGGTTTCACTGTAGCCTAACTGTTCCAATTTAGAGTTTCCCTCCTTTGCAAAATTGAGCAATTTTAAGCAAGCCAGCTTTCATGAAAAATTAAACAAAACTTTACCAAAAGCCACATGAGAGAACAGGTGGGGGACAGCATTTCATCCATGTAGTGCTAATCTGTGGCTTAACATTTCATGCAAACCAGCTCTTTGTTTCACATATGGACTACAATTCAAAACTGGTCATTCAAAACAAGTTTCACAAGTTCCATATGACACTGAAGACCATTCTGACACAACTGACAACCAGTCTGAATGCAGTCCACCAGTAGTTACCCTACACCACAGCTAAATACACCATTGGTTTGGCTGCCTATCTGGGCATTCAAAACTAGAGGGTTGTCAAATGTAATGTAATAACCCTGATGGAGTATGAATATTCTACAGAAAGTGTTGATTTCAACAACTGGGTAAACCAGAATTTGCTACAAAGTTAAAAGTTATGTTTGACCCTCCTTTCTCTTACAATGTGAAATATAAAGCAACTGACTGAATGTGGAAAGCCTTTCACTTATAGAAAAGTCTTTAGTATACTATTTCTCCTTCTTTCCCCTATGACAGCACACTACAATTTTCATTGCATAAAAGCTATTATGACTTTCACAAGTAAATTTCAATGATTCATCATCTACATGAAGCATTATATAGTAAAGAAAGCTTCCTGCATTTTGTCCTAGAAAATTTATGGTTTTATATATCTTCTCTGTATGTAGAAATCGTATTAAAACATTTCCTTATACACACTTAGGAATTTAATTCCAACTAAATCTTTTTTTTACATCACAGCAGTAGTGTAAGAATAGTATTTGTGGATCTACATTTAATATAATTGCATCATATTACAATAAGGTTGACTTCAGGACAAATTAACTTTAGCCTCAACATAAGCTAATGCTAATTTCAAGTCAGTGAAAAACATCTGTTTAACAGGAAACCTGAACTTGAATTGAAGACACTGGAGCTGCAGTATATCAGCCTTCTCCAGTTTGGTGTCCTCTGGATCATTGGAACAACAATAACCATAATTCTTAACCATTTCCCATGCTGACAAGGGACTTGTATGGTTGGGGAAGGCTTGCCATATGCTTTCAAAGATGAACAAGTGTTATATATCATATAACCTATAGAACAAGAAATAGTTGTTACACACCTTTTCATCTATGAAGCAAACCACTTTACAACCTTAAAAGCTGTCTTCCGATTTGGAGGGCAGTAGGGATGTCAATAGGAACTGACTTCTCTTTGTTATATTTACATTCTATCTATGACAGTCTTGGCATAAAGATGGTCAAGCTTTACTTACAATAGGAACATGTATGTCTGTTAGATCTTCTGTAAGTCTGCTGCTGTGAACGCAATTCCACACTGCTGGCCATAAATCTATAAGATTTTCCTTACAAGTTCAACATGAATTTGAAACATCTCATTTCACATACTTTTTCTCATTTACAAATCTGCTTTTCCTAGTTAAACCCCGAGTTTTTATTTGTAATGCCACATTTTCTGACTTCAAAGCAATTTATAAAGTTTAAAGAGTGCATTAAGAAAGGTGTATATTCACATTCCCCAAACTCAAAACCTGAACCACAAATTCAATATAAAATATCTCCAGAGTGCAAACGTTATGCAAACATGATAGAACTGTATCTATATCTTAGGCAATGGTTTGAAGTAACCACAGTTGTCCAAACTAGATGTTACACAACTCTAGTAATTATCAGAAAGGGAAGAATTAAGAGCATGTGAGCTCAAAGCAGGACCCCAAATTGGCAGATCATGGTTTGGCAATGACATCCGAACTGAGCCATTGATTGTATGTTACGTTTATCACAAGAACTTTTTTTCTGTTCAGAATACCACCAGTTCTGAAGAGTACTTCATGCAATGCCACACTGCCTTGCATCCAAAAGCCCACTCTCCCAACTTTTAAGGGAAACGAATTAAAAATAACAAACTAGTGGTTGTACTGACTTACCAATACAGGCATCACCATCTAATAAATTGTCATCTTCAGAGGTCTGAAAATCCATGATGACACCTGCTCCATCTAGAAGTTCTTCATCACTGCTTGCACTGGTTATACTATTGTAACTATTTCGGTAGTAACCTCTATGGAACAGCTGCTCAGACTCCATTTAGCTGCTTTTACAAGCTAACAAAAAAGAAAATAACTTTTAGGAAGTATTGTCTAAATATACAACTCACATTAAGGAAAAGAATGTAAACATTTTTGCTTCATTAGTAAGATAGCTCAGTGGAGGTGTAACCACGATAACATTATTCAACAGCAGCAGCTGCTGTTCTTGGCTATTTAAAGTTGGATTCAGGGTTTGTATTGAATTCTGAACATTTTTATGTTTCAAATACTTTTGAGACCAATCTGTAATGACTACCATAGAAGACAGAAAGGTTCAAAATTGGGTTCTCCACTATAGAAACAATTTTGCAGTTTATTTTAACCCACTTTTGTGAAAGAGTTAAAAGTATAAACCAAAAGCAAGAATTGTATCTAATGGTGAAATTCTGCCAGCATGGGGATAGAGAATGCAGCTCCAATCATCCCTAACCATTTGGTATGCTTTCTTAATGGAAGCTGATAAGAGCTGGATTCCAACCATATCTGGAAGGCTACATGTTTCTCACCTCTGGCATAGTTTGGAGTTTGCAGAAACCTGTTTTATTCCGTGGGTAGCATGAAATCTATTCTTTGATTCCTATTCACAAGGCACTGCACAATCTGTTTCCAGGAGGCATTCTAACTTCATAAACTCCTCCTTTTACTAGTTGTTTGGCTACTGGTTGTACAACTGCTAGCAGGATAGCATCAACTCACATAAAACATGTTTACATTTAAATTAACCTAACTAATCCCAGAAAACCAATTCTATTTCTCAGGTGATTCACTTAATTCACCATTTCATATCACTAGATCTGCCTAACTGTAGCAGGTTAGTTATGTGAAATAGTTTACTGCATCACTAGTCTACTTCAATTAAATATAACGACTGGGACACCCAGTTCTGTACACACAGAAAGCACTTCTGGTGGCAGCCTTTGCACCACAGGAGCTGATGCTCCAGAGGTGTCTCTCATCTGAAGCCAAAACCCCCAGTGGACACTGAACATGCTACCTAGGATCTCACATAACATTAAGTTCTGCTTTACATTATGTGTTCCACACTCAAAGTAGTAATATCTAGTTTTAATAAATTAGCTATGCTCTAACTGATCTGTAGTTTCCAAAAAGATCATGAATGCTAGCCTGGAATGAGTGTGTTAAGGTTGCCTTGGACTTATTCTGGAATACATTCATTTAAAACTATGCAGCCCATCACTACACCTTCCTGTCTATTACAAAACACTATCACAGGTTTCCCTCTCCTTCCAGTAAACCATTTTTTCTTTATTCAGCATCTAGGTTCAAGACAATGTGATAACCCACACTCTATGGATGAGTGTGGGTTGCCACTGAACCATGAGGTGTTGTTCAAATGTGGGTTATCATGATGTCTGAACCTAGCTGAGATAATAACCATGGCAAACAACTCACACTTCATAACCCAACAATAAACAGTAATTTCTCTTCACAGACTTCATGACTAGCAAGCTTTGCCTTTTTGGCGCATCTGGGTTGACATAACCCATCTTTCAAAAACAACCTGCGGTTCAATGGCAAACCACACTCAACCCATACTCAATGCTTCAGCATCAGTTGTCATGTTGCCTAAATTTAGTCAACTGTATCTTACTTGTAAGGGCAAAAAATAATTCCTTTTATACTTTGACTTTTTTCTCTCATAAGATGGAAAATTCAGCAAATGCATTTAAGAAGCATGTCACTGGACTTCATCAAAGTGTGAAAAGGATTAGCAGGTGTACAAAGATTTGCTATCATAAGCATACTCTCCCCCCACCCCATCAGTGCTTTGTATTCCTTTGTAATCACTATCATGCCTTTAATTCAGACTGAAGTCTAAAGTGGTTAACAAAAAATTCCAACAACTTTCTCAGTCATCTGACTATGAAACAAAAAGCCTATACAGTTGTTCTGTAAGTACAGCAGTAGACATTTTCAGACTTGCTCAAGTTTTGTGCCTTTTCCTATTAAAGGTACCAAAAAGACTGCTATATGTTATACTGGCACAGCTGAAATTCACGATTTACACAACTTCAATGACTGCCCAGTGAAAATTTCAAAGTAAGAAAAAGACCACTAGAATCAGCTCTGACAAATCTGACTTCAATTTTGAAGCTACTCCTCTCTTACGAGTATTTTTAACTTATCAAGCAGTGATACATAAATTATTTTAGGAATAAATATAGCAAAAAAGACTGATCTTTTTCAGGTGAAAGAAGAATTCTGACCTCCTCTACAAAGGCCCTACTCTTTCCCCTATGTTAAAAGAAAAATCAACACAAATAGTTAACATATAGCAAGAAAGGTATTGAAAGAGTGGATGACAAAATAAATTTAATGTCTGGTGGAAACATTTCATCATTTGATAATTTTGGATTAAGATTCAAAAAGCACTATAAACTTGATTGATAAGCTACATAAAAGATGCAGTTAGGAAACAGTACAGATTGATTTAGTTTTTAAACTGTATGCATACAACTCCAAAACAGTAATTGCAACCAAACAATTCCCTAAACAACATACCACATCTTGGATAGTATAAGTCTGTTTCCCTCAACCATGCTTGTTAATTTAGGCTGTTATCCTATATCGGCCTACTTGCGAGTAAACTGTATTGAACTCAATGAACTGATATACATAGGACTGCACTGTTAATTATTTTCATAGGCTGATACCTTTGGCATTTTTATATTGTTATATACCATGTATTTTTATACCATGTAAGGTTGATTAGAAACGTTTTATATCCTCCTAATAACAACATTCTTAGTTGTGGAAGTGGGTAAGAACTAGATTCAAGACTGCATTTCTGCAATTCCACAACTGTACTACAGAGCTTAAAAATACATATTGTGAGTAGAATAACACTGAATACTTTACAGCTTTCCATTAAAAGGCATGTCTCCAACTATTAAGGATAAAAGACAAGTATGTAAAAGCAAGGACAATGCCTGAAGATCCCAGAAGCCAGAGGCAGGCTGCATATGATCGGAACTGGTCAAAAGAAAAGGTTTCAGCAACCTGAACTTCCCTTTGTCTCTTTCTATCATTAATAAAAGTGGAACAGATGTATGGCAATTAAACACATTTAGAAAAATTATGTCCCAATACTAAGCCCTTTTTGGACCAAGAACTTACGTTATGGTAACACAGAAATAATTTTAGTGCAGCATATACACAAATTAAACAATATTTTGTTAACTACATATAATAAACATTGGCCTACATAAATAACAAATGGGAGATTCCCAAAAAAATCAACAAAATATTTATTTATTTAGAAAATTTCTATGCCGCCCCATTCACCGAAGCCTCGGGGTGGCTTACAAATAAATCAATTAAAATACTATAAATTAACAATATAAAACAAGTTAACAATATAAAATAACTTTATATTATTTTTGCAATATATAAAATTGCAATAAAAATTGCAATTATGATTGCAATTGCAATCATAATTTTGCTTACAGGAAAATAAGTTCTGCCATGTTAAAATCTGACATTTCTTTCTCAATAAATTTTAGAATTAAGGCAGAGTTACTATTGTAACTTCTTCAATCATATAATTTACATTTTAGGGACACTTTTCCAAATGCTTTATTAAATCCAGAAAATTAAGAAATAATTCAATTGTAGGTAAAATGACCTAGGAGTTATATATGACCTAGCAAAACTGTTCCTTTTACCTGTAATACTATTGCACTCCGTCAAAATATTCCAGATTTAATGACTGCACTTTATATTGGTTTGAATTGCTCCCTGATTATATCCTGAAACGACAGGCAGCTGTTCTAGTCATACATAACCACAACTCGTGCTATGAGGATCGTATGACTCTAAAAAAATTACAGTAGAGCCATTATGATGGTTTTTCATGTCTTTGGCACGCCTACCAGGAAAGACTGTGTATTTCATAAGAATGTATCACTATTGAGGGACAGTTGGGGAGCATTTAAAGTAGAGAATTAGCAATCAAATGAGAAAGAGCACTTAACCCTTTTTCTGCTTAACAATTCTTTATGGATATTTATCACATTATCTCTCATACCATTTTAATAATGTTGTGCCCCAGGTGAAACTAGATGTAGGACTATCTGGGAGGAAATATGGCATGGATTATTTTTAGGACAAAATTGGTGGGCACAGGAAATATTAAACAACTTCAAATTCTCTCAACATATATGGGATTGAGGGGAAATGCCAAGATAAAAGTTATTTATTATATTTATATCCCACCCTTTTCCTGCAAGGTACCCAAGGTAGCTTACATAATCATCCTCTCTATTTGATTCACACAACAAGCAACTGTGAGGATGCTTAGGATAAGAGTCAGTGTCTGGCCCAAAGTCACCCAGTGAACTTCATGGCCAACTGGGGATTAGGGCTCTCTGGAGTCCAACATTCCAACCACTAAGCCACACTGGTTCTTATTGTGGAAGTTATTAGGGAACTCATAGCTCTTATTGTAGTCTTTGTTCTTCAGATAAAGGACAGCAGAACTTTTCTAAGGAGGTTCCCTTGGCTGCCTGACCTGAAATCCAACTGTCATGTTATCAGCTGGAGAACAGGACAGGGAAGCCTGTGTGTGTGTGTGTGTGTGTGTGTGTGTGTGTGTGTGTGTGTCGGGGGGAGGGGTGCATGCTTCCTTGTTGCCCTTGCTCAGCAAGGTGTGGGGACAAGTCATGTTCAGTTGGTTCTTGCTGATAGGAAGCCCAACTGGACTTGCCCCCTGCCTGCTGCACAGATCACAGGGAGACAGTACCACCTGAAAGGAGGGAGAGGAGGTGCAAGCTGAGCATCAGCCATACCAAGGAAGCAGACAGGGAGATAAGCCTCCCCTTACTCTTGAAGAAGAGTACAAGGCAGCTCATTGCCACTGTTATCAGGAAGCTTCTAACAGCTGCATAAAAGTGCTGCTTGGGCAGTTTTCAGCAGCATTATCACCACTCTGCTCAGTGCTTCTGCAGCATCTCCTGAGATACCAATGGAGGACAGTAGATCAGGAACCACCACGCTGTGCCCAACTACCTGTTGGGCACATTGGTGGGGGAGATGGGCAGGCAAAGGATGCACTCTGCAAGGCTTCTCATATCATACAAATTTACCCAACATTTTTCCCCTCTGTAGTATTTCCCCTCAGATAGCAAGCAGCCTGCAAGGGAATTCCTCCTATATTCCTCCGAGCAGCTTGGGAGTACTCCTCGACCTGGAGTTGTCCTTGGAAGCTCAAGTGACTGTGGTGGTGAGGAGCACTTTCCTTCAGCTTCGGCTAATCCATCAGCTGCGTCCCTACCTGGAGGAAGACTGCCTAGCAACAGTGACGCATGCACTTGTTACTTCCAGATTGGAGTTCTGTAACGCGCTCTACGTGGGCTGCCCTTGAAGACAGTCCGGATACTTCAGATGGTGCACAATAGAGCAGCCAGGTTGCTGATGGGGACTGGCCGTTATTCTCACATAATCCCAGTCCTGTACCAACTTCACTGGCTCCCCATCGAAGTCTGGGCTCAGTTCAAGGTGCTGGTTATCACCTATAAAGCCCTTAACGGCTTGGGACCTGGATACTTGAACGCCTGCTTCCATATTTGCCCTCCCGCCCCTTGAGATTGGCAGCAAAGGCCCTCCTCCGAGAGCCCTCCATGAAAGACATCAGGAGGCAAAGTACCCGGAGGAGGGCTTTCTCTGTGGTGGTGCTCCATCTATGGAATGTGCTCCCCAGAGAAGTCCGCCTGGCGCCGTCATTATTTGTTTTTCGGTGCCAGGCTAAGACCTTTTTATTTAAACAATATTTTAACAACATTTAATATTATCTATAGGTTTTAATTTCCAGCCAGAATGAATCAGGGGTTTTGTATAATTTATATTTTTTGTATTTGTATTAGGCACTATGTTGTCTATTTATGTTTATTTATGTAAGCCGTCCTGAGGCGTTAACTGATGGGATGGAATATAAAAACTCCAAATAAATAAATAAATAAATCTGATCACAAATCAGCAATAATGGGGGAGCTGTATGATGCAAATTAATGCCTTAGAACATATATTCTTGGCTGAATTCATCCTGTTTAATGCTTTCTGGGCCACACTTTAAAAAAAACTGTGAAAAACCCTGTCACATTGATTGCTGCCTCAGTTTGCCCATGTGTGAAATGGGTTTCTGCCAGCTTTCGCTACTTAAAATCTTGTAGCAGCAGAGCTTCTGTGTTGTTATAAACTTTGGATAAATTGGTGTTTTGCTAAGCCACTTAAAAAGTAAAACCTGCCTCTACTGGTTTGGTGAAGTAATATACTTTGATTATGTAACTGATGACACTTTGTCACTAATTGCCTGTTTGCCTGTGAAACAGGTTTCTTCTTTTCCCACACCCCTTCTGCTTTCAGTAAGTGGGATTTGCTACCAACACTCTGCATTGTTATTCTGGATAAATTTGGGGATCAGTGGTTTGTGGGCTGAACTGCCATAAAGCTTGTGAAGCTTGCATAGCAAAACAGGTTCCCTTGCAGCAACCTCCTTTCCACTGCATCAGTTACTCGTAGATTGTCTACAAGCCTCCACTGGACCTGGGGGAGCACTGGCTTTGCCTGCTTATGTCCTTCCCCCATTGGGAGAAAGCATGAGACCCGTAAAGCAGCTTTGCTGTGCATCTGTGCACCTGAAGCTGTTTTCCAGCAGATGTGCCAACACACTAATCTTCTTGACATGCCAGGCAGGGCCCTAAAGCTTCACTGTGTATGAGTCTTCTCTGGTGGGAGAAGGATACACCAGGAGGTTCGCCCTGCTGAACACCTGCCGAAGAACAAATGATGTCAGGAGTGTGACTCTGCCCCTTGACACGAAAGTGTGTAGCCCCCACAATATTATTCAGTCTGCAGAGAGTTATCCACCTACTCACATGCCAAAAAGGCAGGGTACTAGAAGGACATGGCTAGTTCTCCAATTAGGGGCAGATTTGTGGTGGATACAGAAGAGTATGAAAAACCACTGAAATAAGTTTTGGAATAGCAAAAAAAAAAAAAAAAACTTAAAAAAATGAAGTGCAACAAAGAAGGAGGTACCCCAGCTCTCTTCTAGATGGCAGAGAAATGTTTCATGTCACATGAGCTTTGGGAAGAACAAATGTTCTGACCTATTCCAAAGCTTTCTACAATTTGCCAAAAACTAGGGAGAGTAGAGTAGTGTATTTTGGGGGATTCTGCCTTGCTTTTCCTCATTCATTTACCCAAATGAGTGGATTCGGCGAGGTCTAATGTAGACATTTTAGTAAAAAGGAAGTTTAATTTCTAATTTCAATTAAAACAATTTAAGCAAAATTGTAGCTGAAATTAATGAAAGACTGAAGGACTTCTTAGAGACTCAAGATTGTATATGATGGGATCATTTGATCATCAGAATGTACTCTGCCAGTAGATCAACTTCTGCTTCCCCTTTCAACCCACCTAAATGCTTCCCAAAGTTGTTCTGCAGATCTGGATAACCCCAAGGAGCAGATTTGAGGGGCAGAAAGTGATAGGGATGGGGCAGGGGAAGGAAAAAAAACTCCTGTTGTGTGAATGGGAAGTCCACTCACATTGCACTGGATTTGACCCATATCAAATTTATTTTATATTAATCATTTTTAAACCACCCAATAGCCATGGCTCTCTAGGTGGTTAACAGAAGTTCAAATTAAACAGAGGTTAAAAAGACACACACACACACACTTAATTTTAAAGAAGAAAATTATAATTGATATTGCTGTTATTCAGTACCAAAGCATAGCAGCAATGCATAATAAAATGGGATATGTAAAAACAAAGTTTAAAAGTTTGATTTTTAAAATGCTGGTAAAGTAGAAAGGTCTTCACCTGGCACCAAGAAGAATACAAAGTAGGTTTCAGGAATACCTCTTTGGATAGTTCATTCCAAATTCAGGATGCCACAACCAGGCCCTCTTCCTGGTAACGATCTGCCTTACTTCCTTTGGAAGGGAATCCCAAAGAAGGACCCCCAAAGATGGTCTCAGGTTCTGGTAGGTACATATGGGAGGAAGTAATCCTTTAGATAACCTGGCCCCAAGCCATTAAAAGAATATAGCTGAAGAACTTCAAAAGTATGTAAATAGATTGTTCTACCAATTAGGAAAAGTTACTGCTAAGGAATAATCTAATTCTGCAAGTTACCAAGTATGAGTTATAAATTAAGTGTACAATCTTATGCAATTTTGCTTGAAATTCTCCCACTTCAATCAATGGGGCTTACTCCCAAATAAAGTGTGCACAAGACTGCAACTTTGGTCAAATTAAGGGAGGTATCCATCATGAAAACCTTGACAAGGAGAAGCACCACAAAAAATAGGAAACAGCTGCTGAAGCTACCTGGTCAGTCTTTCAACATGGATACCCAGCCTTGGACAAAAGATAGGATGCCATACTTTATTTATTTATTCTCTATACTGCCCACAGCCGAAGCTCTCTGGGCAGTTCACAACAGCACATTAAAAATACACCATTAAAACATCATAAAAGTCAACAATACAAAATTTAAAACAAATTGAAAGCAGAAAAATATAATAAATCCTATCTAAAAAGAGCAAGCCCCGGTAACTAATTAAATGCCTTGTGGAAGAGGACAGTCTTTACTGTAGTGTAGTGGTGCCAGGCCTTACAAAGTCAAAGCCCTGGGACTGTATTAACAGGGTTGTTTCCTCTAAGCTCAGCTGCAATTCTCACAAGTATCTCTAAATAATATAATAGGCTAGATCCCACTACAGGACAGTGACATGTCAGCAACTATGGCATGTCAGCAACTAGTAAAAAAGAGTAGATGGTTGTTGTTGGGTTAACTTCTGGGTTGTTTAACCCTTAAGCAACCCAACAACTAGGGTTGTCATGTCACGCTCAGCAACCTATGTAAGAGCTGTCTGGAACATCTGTCTGGAAGTTGTCCTATACTGTCATATGAACTAGGTCATCGTTTCCTGATGCAGTGCAAAGTATTCTGCAGTAGCTTGATCTTAAATGAGCAAAAAAGACCCATTAGGTCTACAAAAGCCATGCTACTGTTGAAGATTAAAACTGGTGTGTTGACAGGGATCACAGCTGCCTGAATTTCCGGGCTTCCTTTCAGTGTGTAGCTATGAGGACTGTCATGATGAATCTCTGCATTCCTACATTTGCCTCTACACTACCGGCTACGCAATGCTCTTCTGAACCCACTGCTCGGTTATTAAAGAACATAAGATGAAAAACCCGAGCGGGGGAGAGAAGTCGGGAGAGGAGTTTCTGGAGAGGTCTGGTGCAGATATGACAATAAAGAAGAGCCTTGTGGCACCTTAAAAACAGCACAGGCTTCCTGTGCCGTGAGCTTTCGTGGAAAGTGTCCCAATCGTCACCCAACCAAGGCTCCCGCCACTAGAACGGCGCGTCTGGAATGCATCAGACTATGACTCGTCCCCAAGCCCACCAGCATCGCCTCACCGACTCCGCAGGCGCCGCCCTGAGAAACACGGGCGCCCTCCCGCAACTAGACAACGGAGGCAGCGAGGGCCGGCACAGAGACGAAAGCGAGCCCAGCGACAAGCCACGCTCCGCGTCTCCGTCCCCTTCGCCCCGGCCCAGCGACCGTGCCGTTGGGTAGTACGTTTCCCGCCCCGGCCGAAAAGTGCCCTACCTGGCCCTGCGGCGCCGCCTGGTGATCCCCAGAGAGGGGCTCACGCATCCTCCCGCCGCTGGGCCGCGCGGAGGGACACCTGCTCCCGGTGGGGGGAGGAGCCGAGGGGTAAGAGGGCGGGATCTCGTAGCAGCAGTACAGGCCCCGCCGAGGTCAGGCTCCGCCAGCCAATCAACCCCCACTCGTCGCGCGCACGACAGAACCCGCCCTTTCCTTAGCAAAGGTGAGCGGTCCGCATCGCGAGATCCCCCATCCGACGCTCCCAAGCGCCAGTCAGAACGCGAAGCCCCGATGGGGCGGCGCTCGGGCTTCTGGAGGGTGACTTGAGCGCGTGCGCCTTGCCCCAGACCTGGCGAGGTGTTTAACGGCTGTGCTGCGCGTCGCGGACACGGTGTGTGACGCCCCCTACTCTGTCATGTCGCAACAGATATTCGGCTCGTTGTTCTTCAGATGTGTTGCGGCACAACGGCCACGACTGATATGCTGGCAGGTGGAGTGGGGGATTTGCAAGAACTGTAGCCCTCTCATCCTGCTCTCCCAGTGTCAGCTTGGCTGCTATAAAATAGTATTAAGGCTGAGACTGCGGGCCTTCAGTCCTAACCAGGATGCAGAATTTGGGCACCGAAACGCACGGACTTAACTTTATCAGTCTGGGCCTCGTTTGTTTTGTATTTTTTATTCATATACATCATACACATACGAAACGGGCGGGTATAGAATGCAGCTTTGGACTTACGAGTTGCCATTCACCGAGTGCACCTGCTAAAGCTACTCTTAACCTGCAATCGTATGCACGTTTTCACAGAATTCCCAGTGACCTGCAATGGAGCTTCTTCGCGATAATATACGCTGCAGTGTCCTCGGCTGATAAGGACAAACAATGACATCACGAAAAAAAACCCAGAAACTTGCAAAATTTACACCCATCCTGGTTAGGGGAAGCACGTCAAAAGCTATCAAACCAATGGCTTCAGAAATTTAATCCTTAAGCGAATTAAGGACCCGATCCCATATATGTTGAGACAGGAAAATGTCCTTACATATCTGGATCTTTGTGTAAACATGCATAAGATTGTGATCTAAGAGTAAACAATAAAACAGGCACGAATAAACCTTTTGAATAAGCAGGCGGACAGGCAACGAGCCGGAGGCAATACAAGCAGGATAAAAACGATGCTGCACGTTCGCAGGCAGAAATAAAAAGGAAAATAAAAATTCCACACACGATTTCCAAGCGTTATATCGCATCCTCTTTCTCTCCTCCCTTCATTGCAGAAAATCGGGCATAGATATTATTATTTTATTTATATCCAACTTTTTTCCTTCAAGGAACGCAGGTATATCATACATCATGTAGGGGCGTGAAACTTAGTATCTTTCAAATGCTGCAAGGACTCCAACTCCCATAAGCCCCACAAGCATGGCTAGCGGTTATTTATTTTTGAATTTGTATACCGTCTACTAATTCAGATGGATTCTCTGGTCAGAGAGTTGTAGTCCAAAATCAGCTGGAGTACTTAAGTTGCCCCACCCATACCGTATATACACGTAGAACTCGCATGACTTCTCCGGAATATTACCGTGGTCTCGCCCTTACGTCTTTCGTTTAGGTCACGTGGTCTTCTCGCGCGTTACCAGGGTGAAGCTGTAAGCAACCACTACGGCGCTCCCTATCTGGCGCATCCAAACATGCCGGTCACGATTTCATCCAATGGCAGGGGGAGTTTTGTACCAATGTCCTATAGCAACGCTAGAGGGGTGGGACCGAAATGTGGGCTGGGTTGCAGCTGCTACTGGAAAAGGGTGAGGTAGATACACCAAAGGGGTTGGATGGGGGGGGGCTTGAGGGGAGATTGAAGAGGAACGCTCGTACTTGTCGGAAAAGGCAGTGGAGAGTTGAGGTCGCAGGAGTCCTTTTTTTTTGTTTTATTTAGCTCGTAGAGTGGAGGCGGCCTTTGCTTTGCCTTGTTTCGCGTGGTCGGTGATGCTCCCGCGGCTCCAGCCTAGTAAGTTACCTCGCTTGGGTCCTGCCGCCGCCACCGCCCCGGTCTACGAAGGCCAGGTCCGCAGTGGTAGTTTTAAGAGGGGAGGATCCCACTTTGCGGTTCCTGCCTAGTAGGTGGGTCTAAAGCAAAAAGCCTCTGCACATCTCCCTCTCCTCGAGTGGTTAAAATGTGAAAGCTTACGTAGAGCCTTCTCACCAGCACTGTTAAATTCGGGGTAATTAGCTCGGAGTAACGCATGCAAGTCAGTTAACAAAGGGGAATTAAAAAACCTCGCTCCTCTCCATTAATCCCAGACTGGGAGAAACGAAATTCCTTTCTGTCTATTTTTAGTTATCTTATTTAGAATGGATGAATTAAAGAATGCTAATGTAATGAGTTATTGATTAGTTTTTGAATGTCAGTTAACTATACTGAATACTAGAAGATAGCTTATATTTACCCCATTGGCATGGCTAGGAAAGTATAGATTCTGGATCTAATGGACTGGTGGGTGGGTGGGTTATTCATCCAGCTATGTACATTGCCTCAGTGGTGAAGAGCACAATTAACATTTGTCATCACGCTATCCTCAACCACCATTCCTTGCTTTACAATTGCCTCCACCTTCCGATATGTTGGTACAGTAACTGTAAGCCTGATTTCTTATAACCCCCACCCCCGTTCATGTGAAGTTTTGCATTATAAACTCACATAAATAGTAAAACTCACCATCGTGACTGCAGACATAATCAGAGTTTGCTCCTACTGCCTTGATGTTCACTGTGTGGTCATTTAGGGGCCCTTCAAGCTTTCTATATTTCATTGAAACTGGTGCTTGATAGTAGATTACAAAGTTGCAAATTATAGCATTAGCCAAACAAATAAGACCACTATTAAAATTTAACAGAGTGGTGTAAAATAATAATTCAGAAGCTGCTTTCCTGAAAGTCTCATAGAATAAAAGTGATTTGGCCGTGTGAATTGTGAATCTTTCCCTAGGAGCCCCTATCCACCAATAAAGGGGTATTGCTGTTGATAAAGTCCTGCTCACACAAGCTATCAATTTGACTTCAGCAAACTGTGGAACTTAGGCTGGGGCCAGAGGACCACCTTCTCTTCCTTTTATTGAAATAGGTACTATCAACAGGCACAAAATATATTATTAAAGCTTTAAAGTCTGGTGGCATAATCTTACACATATTTACTCAGAAGTAAATTCCACTTGGTTCAATGGGGCTTGCTCCTTAATAAGTGCAGTCAAGCTTGTAGCTTGAGGCCATTGTGATGGTAAGCCCATGTAGAATACACTACAACAATTTAATGAGGTTATCCAGATATCTAGGCTGGTGGCCAAGACTTTATCCCTTAGTACAAGGTGTCATTGGGGTGCTGACTAAAGGCATAAAAGGTACTTCTATCCATAGACATACACTGGACATTCATTCTGCACTCACCCCCTGGAGCCTTCCTTCAAGCACCAATTCCAAGAGAGGTGTGGAGGGTGGCAAAAGGGAGGAGGGCCTTCTTGGTGGTGGCCTAATCTCCCCACTGCAGCCCAGCTGGCAAAGAAACTCATCTTTTTGGCCACAGACTAAGACAGCCCTCTTTTCTGAGGCTTTTAAAGACTTACTTGGCCACTCAAAGGCTTGAAGGAGATCACAAGGTTTTTTCACAGTCACTCTCTATCCATCTCTTGCTCTCATTTCCCCTTTCTCTTTTTTGTTATTCCTTCTTGTTATTTGTTTTTACTACCTGTTTTAAAATTTTAAATGTGTTTTTCTGATTTTTGATGTTTTTCTTGTACATTTATCATCTACATTTTACAGACTCTTTAAACAGGCCAGAGAGCTTCAGCTGTAGGGTGGTTTAGAAATTAAATAAAGCAAGCTAACACTGTGCCCAGATGGACTACCAAACCATAAATCTTATCTCAGAGGATACTGTTACTCATCCAGATTAAGAATAATTTCAAAAATTGGATGTTGTACAATCTCATCTGTGGATCCCTTTTTATTATTCACCTAGTTTAAGTTTACCACTTTACCATTAGTTTAGGATTTCCACCAACCCACTACCAAGACCACTAGTATCCTACCTAGCAGCTTCACATAGATGTTAAATAAGCATTGGCAATTAAATTCAACATTGTTTCATCTCCAGAATACTTTGCATGAGGCAGAATAGAATTGTTCTCTAATCATCATCTGGCATCTATCAGTAGGGTAGTAGGAGTGAAGCTATTGTAAAACAGGTGTCTCCAGGCCAAGGCACTCAAAAAGGATACCATGCATAAAAGTACTGAAAATTGCTGAAGAATCCAAATCAACAGGGTCATATCCCCCTTGTCTGTATCCTAGAAACTGTTATCTATTAGTGTATTAAAGCAGTTCTTTCCCCAAAATAGGCTAAAAGTGAATTAAATGTAGTGGTGCTCCTTGACTGAACTATCACATTTTTTTCCCCATAGTAAGTTTGTGGTATGATTTTCAAGCATGTTTACTAAGACACTTAATGTTTCCTTGGAAATAGGCTCAACTACGTTCAGTTTGCTCTACTAACAAATAAGATTTTAATCCTTACATAGGAATAAATTTCAATAAATTCAGTGGAATGTACATCTGGGTAAACATGCTGCATAGGCTGAGATACAAGTAAGTGCTGCTGTGACAGTACAAAATGCAGCATCATTTATATTCTGATTAGTGCAGTGGATTTGACTTTTCTTTATACATAATTAATGAAAACTTCTTAATTAAGTGAAAATAACTTGCAGAGTGATTGTAATAAAGGCAAAGAATGCAGGCTTCAGCTTAAAGCACAAATGATAGCATTGATGGGCTTAGACACCTTATCATGGAAGGGAATGCCATTTTTTTTTTAGTATTGATAAGACAAATGGCTTACAAACTGCCTTGCAATACATAACCTGACCTGGCTATTCAGTTAAAGCATATATTCTTTATTTTTTCCCAGCTCATGCATAATGATGCCTTAGAAAAATATCATGGATAAGTATATTAAGGTACAGAAGATTGGTGAAGGGTCTTTTGGGAAAGCAATTCTGGTTAAAGCAAAGGAAAATGGCAAACCATATGTTATTAAGGAGATCAATATATCAAAGGTGAGCTTCTCGTATAATATTTTTAACTGCATAATTTTGTATATGTATAATTTTAAAAATGATGCTTCTCTTTTGAAGATGTCAAATAAAGAGAGAGAAGAATCGAGGAGGGAAGTTGCGGTGTTGGCAAACATGAAACATCCAAATATTGTCCTATACAAAGAATCATTTGAAGGTTAGGCTTAAAAATAGTATGGTATTTTGAAATGAAATATGGCAGTATAAAAGCAAACAGTGCTAATGGTTGTTGAATTGGGGGAGTTTATACTCCTGATTCTACCTTTTGACATTGTGATTTTTGGACAAGTTTGGGGGCAAGAGGTTTACTTTCTCAATGCTGATTAAATTAAAATGTATTATGTTGACTGATAAGACTTCTAAAGATACATATTTCTGATTAGGATGCAAGTGCTCCACCTTTCATGTCTCCTAGATAGGTTTGCAAATATACAATAATAGAAAACTACACAGGAACTCAAAGAATTAAATATATAGCACATGGCATTAGTGAACACTTCTCTCACACAAAGGACTTTCTTTCTTTTCTTTTTTACAGAAAGTGGCTGTCTTTACATAGTGATGGATTATTGTGAAGGAGGAGATCTTTTCAAAAAGATCAATGCACAAAAAGGTGTCTTGTTTTCAGAAGACCAGGTAACAGGGTTTGAGAATTATTTTGCTTTATTAGGTTGTAGCTCTGGTATTAATATACTATGTTGGTCTAAGACCAGGGCTCACAAATTTTGGTTTGCTTTGGTGGGTGACCTTCCTCAAGGGATAGGGTCTTGTTCTTAATCTCATGCTGCACCTCTCACTGGTACACAGAACTCCACAGTTCTGCTTGCCACACTTATCATGGTGAATTTCCCACCCAGCCACCTCTTTGGTAAATGTAACAAGCTGCAGCCTTTCTCCCAGCATTGCATCAGAGGAGGGAACAGGGTATCATCTGAGGACATTACAAGTGCAGCATAACAAAGAAAAGAGCCAACTTTTCTTCAAAGTGTGAATCTGGAGAAGAGAGCATGGGATTATTCTGCAGTTTTGCTGTGCTCATGAGGCTCTTTAAGCTCCACAAAAGGAAATTATATCTGTGAGGACAATCCTCTACCCCCTCTCCAGTTGCAAACTCAAGAGAAGGCTGAAGGCTTACTGTTTTCACAGTTAGCTATCAAAACATCCTGAGGACTTGGGGCTTGAGAGGAGAACAGAAATGGTCTCACTTTGCACTGCATTTCAAAGATGCACTGCAGGACTGGGCCAATACTCTGTTCCTTTTTAGTTAACAGTTCTAGCAATCACACAATCTCCTACTAGCTGAAGCCCTTTTCCTTGACTCCCAATTTTGGAAGTAGGTAAGATTATTCATGAAAATGCAGTATGAAAGCCAGTCTCACTTTCTTCCCCTAGCTCAAACCTGGAGAGAACAAGTGGCATTTGCTTTGGCTGTATGCTTCTGAGGCACTTGGAGTACCTTGGAAACAAAACCAAGCCCCCTGCTACTCTCTTCAACTTGGGTCCAGAGTGGAAGGCTTGTATTTCCATTTTGGTGCTGTGTCTCAGGACTGTAGCACCGAAACAAACCCTAGGCTTTCTTCCGATCTTCAAGAATGTCTCCTTTCCAACTCCAATGTTATTGTTTGCTTTTAAGCAGACAACATCAGCAACTGTACAAGGCATAATAATATACCACTAACAGTAAATGTCTCTGGGTGCTGAAGACTTTGTTCAGGTAATACATTCCTGTATATAAAGTGCTGGTTTTATATCATGTCATCAATATTGGATTCCAAGGATGGGTCATCTTTTATTGTGATGTCAAAATATTTATTATTCCAAGTTATTAAATATTTCAGTGATGTGGGAAATTGTACCTAAAGTTTTTAATATTTGAGCTCCTCTAATGTCAGTCTCGAAATACAACTTTCACAAAACCTAACCTCCTCCTACTTATCTTTAGATCATGGATTGGTTTATACAGATCTGTTTAGCACTGAAACATGTACATGACAGAAAAATTTTGCATCGAGATATAAAGTCACAGGTAGGTTAGAAAGAAACACATTTTTGTTCAATTCAGTACTCTAATGCAGATGGTTATGCCTAGTTCTCACAAACTTCAGATGCGGTAGCAAACCTTTGTCTCTAGCATTTCAAATTGTAGGAAGGGCTTGTCAGAAAGAATAAGCCTTTGTTCAGACATAATGCAAACTTGTACTGCTAGTGTGGTGTAGCAGTTAAAGAGTAGGATTGGAATTCAAGAGACCCAGGCTCTAGTCTTCATTATTTAGCCATTAAGCTCACTGGGTGACTTGGGCTAGTCGCTAACTTTCAGCCTAACTTCCCTCAGAGGACTATTGTGAGGATTAAAGGAAGAGGAGGAATGTTCATATATGTTATATTAAGCTCATTGGAGAAAAGGTGCCTTATAAATTAATAAATAGGTTAAATAAATAAAGCAGGGATCAGTGTTAAGAGAATGAGTTTAGCAAACCCTGATGCTCTCACACTTATGCTTTGTCTCATTTGCGCATTCTGTGTACAGGGGGAAGTGACTGAAAGCATACTGTTGGGGTCTGAATGAGCCATACTTTCCTGGCTTATACACACTATAATTAGTTAGAAGAAAACAGGTAGATTAATTTCCCTTCATCAGACACTAAGGTCTTACCTACATGACAAAACCTCCAGCTTAAGACAAGCTTTGATTATGCTGGACAACCAAGCTATTGTCCTTGACAGAAACTTCCAGAATCCTTTGAGCAAGCAAGTCTAAGAAGAGTCTGTGACAATGGCCAAGGAGATGACATGGCCTTATATATGGCAAAGTTCTAAACAATGTTCCACATTGCTTCAGGTCCCAATGATTTAATGCTTCCAAATACCAACCATTTTATGTATGTAAGAAGTTATATGGTGCAAACTAAGGTTGTAGTATGACCTTTCTCTGAGACATAGAGGATTTCAATGGGGGAGGAAATTTACTTATTTTGTATGCAGGTGTTTTCAGTCATGTAAGCCCTACCTGTAGCTTGAAGTCATATTATTTAGATACAAGTTTGCTACCGCACCTATGGTTTGTGATAACTATGACTTAGTTTTAACAGTTCTAAAATAGCTATAGTCCAATACTAAAATTTTCAAAACTGGAAAAAATCTATGGAGCCCATCCTGTGAATAAGCTCAATATTTCTTGTTATAAGAAAAAAGTGGGATATAAATTAAATAGAGTGAGCGTAGTAAACTATCTTGCCTTATTAATATGCATTTAGCCAATACATGTTCATGGAAATAGCTATTGGAACATTTTTATGTCAAGGTACATAAGTTAATTTCTTGTTTACTGAATCATATTTGATATAGAGCTTGATATTGTTTATCTTTCTTCTCTAGAATATATTTTTAACCAAAGATGGAACAATACAGTTGGGAGACTTTGGCATAGCTAGAGTTCTTAATAGGTAATTTTCAGTACCTGCTCAGCCCAGTTCTCATAGTACTGCCAAGTATGGTTTACCTCATTGCCATCTTTTTACTTTTATTTTAGTACAGTGGAGCTTGCTCGAACATGTATAGGAACACCATATTACTTGTCACCTGAAATCTGTGAGAACAAGCCTTACAACAATAAAAGGTAGTATTTAGCAGTAAGTTTAACTTTTTTCATTATGGTATATTTCATATAGATGCCATCCATGTTCTTTTAATAAACTGCAGTTTACTTGACTTTATTATTCTTATTATGCATTGTAAGAACCCAAGAACCCAACACACATTTATCCAATCTCGGAGTCACATTTTGGGGATATAGTGAAAACAATATCATGTCTTCCAAAGAACTATGCCTGATAAATTTTATTTGCCCTGGCTCTTTAAATCAATAGCTCCTCTAGACCTTGTTGCTACTCTTTGGATATGGTACAGAGATAGCAAATGGAAATTGATTCCATATAGCAAAACTGTCAAAATATGTAATTGTCAATTAAATATACTTTAGCATCCAAATATGTTTCTAGGTGGCCACCTCACTCTTAATAAGGCTTTCCCAGTCCAATACATTCAATTGCAACACTATTGGAGATCAATAGTCTTCCAGCATTCCTCAGAATTTTGGAAGGATAGCAGTAAGAATTCTTTTCCTTTCTACATTAGGCAAAATATTACTAGAGGAAGTAGCAGAACAGCAGCTGCTAGCGGACAGATAAGGTTCCCATTGCTACTTCCTGTTTACACAGATGATGAAGTCTTGCCACCTTCTAATATCTTAGAAGTTACTGTTCAACAGAAGTTGCCATAGATGAAATATAATGTCCATGCATGTATACACTCCCTTGTCATAGCTGATCTTAGAGGATAATGAAAAGTAACATGGGCCAGCTTAACTTCCAAGGACAAACAAGAATTTTATGCATCTTGATGCAAACTGTTTTTAAGCATGGTAACAATCATTATTGGTACAAACTAAAATTCTGTCTCTTTCTTGTTTAGTGACATATGGGCTCTTGGTTGTGTTCTCTATGAAATGTGTACACTGAAACATGCTGTGAGTAGAAGCTTTATAATACTTCATGAATGATTTTTTTACCAGTTGCCTACACATTTAGTCTTTTAAGTCAGAATAATAACTTCAAAGTTTTTACATCTTCTGCACATGGGTCCCTTGGCTCATCCCATAATTTTGGTTACAAGTAGAGGTTGCTGGGTGGGGAGAAATGAGCAAGTGCAATAGATAATTATCCTTCCCACATTTTCTTTTCAAAATAATTGGAATACTTATACATATTTTCTTTTCAAAACAATTGGAATAGTTATACATGTTTATAAAGCATAAAAACAGTATTCAAAATCTTTTACTACATAGTTAAGCTTTCTTTCCTTTGTAGGTAAAAGAGTTACTAGGATTAAAGTCACTTACACTAGTAAGATATTAATGTTGCTTGGGCTCTCCAGTACAACTGTTGGTTGTCCTTAAAGTTTTGGATTCAGATCCTACATTCATATTTGCATGGTATGGTAGACAAGGCTAGGTGAAAAGAAACAAGTTTGTGCCATTGCAAGATTGATCATCAACAGGTTTTGTTAGGCAGATTCTTCTGTATCTTATTCAGCATGAATGAACATCAGTGTTGAGTTCACCATTCCTTGAGGCAATTGACACATCTTATTTATTTTAAGTATGTTGACTTAAAGTAAAATTTGTATTCAATGGGAATGACTTCATAGTAAATGTGCATAGATTTGCAGCCATAGAACAATTATTTAATAGTCTATTAAGCATGTTTTGTTTGTTTACACTTGAGCTGCATTTTACTCTTTCCCTTGGAAAGGGACATGCATTGTCTCCTTGCATATTGCAAGATATCACAAAGACTAGATGGAATACAATTTTAAAATATCTGATCAGCCCTAGGCCTTGTCACTAAGATGTATATGTGTTAGTTTGTTCTAGTTGTTACCTGTTGAATTTAGTTTATCTATTTTAAACAACCTCCGATTGATGACACTGATTAAAATCTAAATCTAAAGAATATTGTATGGATAAAATGTGAGACTGAAAAAACAGAAAACCACCTAAACTATGTTAATGATTTTTGTAGTATTATGAAATCTTTTATCATTTTCTCTAATTGTTGCTTGGCATGACATCATGAGACTGATAATTACAAATTGTTCTTCTGCTTGTAGTTTGAAGCTGGTAACATGAAAAATCTGGTACTCAAGATCATTTCTGGATCATTTCCTCCTGTTTCTGTGCATTATTCCCATGAACTCCGGTGTCTGATTTCACAGTTGTTTAAAAGAAATCCTAGGGATAGACCATCTGTCAACTCCATATTGGAGAAGCCTTTTATAGCTAAACGCATTGAAAAATTTCTCACTCCTCAGGTATGAATTTAGGCCTTTTCTTATAAATATTTTACAATGCAACAACAGTAAAAAGCTTATTCTGCAGGTTTTGCTTCTGAAAATCCATTAAGAAGTAATTCAGTATCAAGTGAAATATGTGCATGTACATGTAGATATCAGAGCTTATTTGTAAGAACTGTTGTAAATGATCCATAGAATAAAGCTGAAATAGTGGCTACAAGTATTATAATATGTCATAGGAGCATACAACATCTTTAGTAAGAATTGACACAGAGTTTCAAATATCAATATGACCTCAGTGTTTTGCATCAAGCTTTGAAATTCTGGGGCATTTACATCGACATAGCCATATGTAGAACAATCTTGAGTTTTTTATTGTTTTGGGATCAATCTGTTAAAGTATGCTTGAACAAGTTTTCTTTTACAATAAGCAAGACCTCTCTAAAGTAGAAGCAATTTAAGCCAGATCCAAAGCTTCACAGGGCAGCTCTCCAATGGCAGTCTGAGTTCTGTGCAAGAGTAAATGGCCATCCACACACATCAGCATGCTTATGAAGTAACATTATCAAGAGAGCACTCCTTGCATATATATGGTTCCTTGTGTTTGCTGAGTTTTGCATTTACAGGTTCTTGGCCACAAGGTTCATGAGGCATATGCTTGTCAAGTAGCTTATATAATATTGACAATGGAATCTTTTGCCATAATTCAGACTATATCACTACTTAAATCTGCACTTTCTAAATACTGCCATTTGCTTTATTTGTGATAAAGCCTTTTAATCTGAATTTCTGCACTCAAATTCACAGTGAGTAAACTTTTTCTTTCTAATATGGATATCCTGTCATAGGGTATAGCTATCCCTATAACATTTTCCTATTACTGTAAAAATATTGACTGTATATATTACTTGTTGTACTGTCTTACAAAACATTGTTCTTTTAGCTTATTGCAGAAGAATTCAGCCATAAAGTATTCCCAAAGTTTGGACCACATGCTGGACCAGGTAATACATAAAAGATTCCTATTTAGCTATCCACAGATCTGGTCTAAACATGATCTTAACCCATGGTTTATTGTCCTGTCCATGCTTTGTCTGGCAGATTATGGAACAAACTGGTTTGTTTTCTGAATCCCTAAGAGATTGGGTTTTTTCCTCCATGCATTCCCTCCCTACACCCTAACTGTTTTTGTAATAGAGTAGTACTGGCATATAGACAAGTTCATTTTTTAGACTGCTCTTGCCCATGACCTTTGTAGCATGGTAAAATTACTTGTTGTTCTGGGTTCAAACATAATGGCAACTCATGGTTTAAAGAATTAAGTGTACACAGCCCAACAAAACACTATTGGTTCTCTTATTGATCTGGTTTATGCACCTCAGTGGCAGTTCCTAACTTGGTCAACCCGGAAACGGGCAGCAACAAAGGAAATACAGAAGTTATATGTGAGCCATTTGTGCTTTTAATTGACAATCCAAGATCACCCTATTCCTGGGTTAATTTGTAACATGGAGATGCTGAAACTATGGATTGAGTAACCTAAATGTAGGCCAGGAAATACTATGGTTTGCTGTTGGGCTAACGTTGGATAGTTTAATCTATGAACAACCCAGAGTTTGCAGATTAAAGGTTTTATCTTACATTCTTAAAGCCAGAGCATTCAAACAGCTCAGTCCTATGCAAAATAAGTTGTATCTGGTTACAGCGAAATCCTGCCTTAATCAGACTTAATACTGTGTAACATTAGGGTATAATAGCGTTTTATGAACCTACCGTTTGATAATGCTTGTTTTGAGGTATATTCCAGTAGTAATCCAGTATAATGAAGTTGGCATTTTTGCTCTCTTCCACAAAGCAAAGAGACCAGCTCAAGGACAAAACTTGGCCTCTGCTGCACCTGCTCAGAAAATTACAAAACCTGCTGCTAAATATGGAGTGCCTTTAATACTTAAGAAGTCTGGGGATGCAGCTAAAAAAATCCATGAAAAGCCTTTAATTAGATGTAGACAGGTGAGAGAATTATTGATTAATGAATCACAGGTACATCTTTTGATGAGGGGTGGGAATTTTGGGCTTACTGTTTTTGGTTTTTGGTTTTCACTTGCCATAGTCATAGTATGACCTACAAATATATTCCTTTGCAGGAACTGGTAGATGGCACATAACTTGTCTTTGTTGCAACTGCATTGTAATTCATGTTCAGGTGCAAGACTTTCAGTGGAGCTCCCATTGCCTTTGTATCCACATTGCAGTTCTGATGGGAATATGACTAGTCTTGAACTGTACAAATGTTAAAGTTCAAAATAGGGCTGTCATATTTTGGCCCTGCCCTATATAACACTGTATAAAGACTAGGTGCATATAAAACATTTAAACAAGCAGTAGCAGGAAAAATGTTCCACTAAACATTCCCCAAAAGGAAATCTAAAGTAAGAAGTAACACAGCATAGCAGGCCTTCGTGTGTAAATTCAACAAAATGCTGGCCCTCCAGCTACATGCTTCGCACCAGTTCAGACAATTACAATCAGGGTGCTAAATCACAAATCCTTGTTTGTGAACTCATTGTCCTGTTGTGGGGACCTGGATACAAGACTAATGTGGTATCGTAGTGGCTACAATGTCTGAGCAGGACTGTGGAGACTGCAGTTTGAATCCCCACTTAGATGAGAAACCATGTGTGTTACCTCCTTGGAGTGAAGGGCGGGATAACAATAAAAAGCGTTGCATCCTACATGACTGGCTAGAGAATGCTGGTAATTTTAGAGGACATTTTTGTCTTAACCTGTATAGGGTTATTCCCTTAAGAGATTCCCTGAGGTACACATTCTTGGGTGCCATATTTCAGGTGTCTGGTTTTATAACCTTGGCACAGGCAGATACATTCTCTTCTACTACTACTACTACTACTACTACTACTACTATCATGTGATGATATCTTTTGAGTACAACCAGTATGCATAAATTTTTAACATAGCTATAATAGCTGCTTCTTGGTAATGGGAATCTTCTCTTCAGTAAATGGCTTGTTGAGGGAAATAACTTGATGTGTAAGAATTTTAAAACACAAATGGGCATGTTTTAATTACTGAACTATTAACAGATGAGACACAATAAGTAGTGGCATGCATTTGTGCTCTTATGCACATTAGTGGTACATCTACTTATAAATGTTTCACATATCAAGTATCAGTTATGCAGCATTTAAATTATAGGCACTCTCCCATCTGTTGTCATGAAGCAGCAGAGTTGGAGACATTATTATATTACATTTATACTGCACCTTTCTTCCTCTTGCATAGAATGCAAAGTGACTTTCCAGGTTTTCCTCCTCTCCATTCTGTCCTCACAACTACAGCCCTGTGAGGTAGGTTAGGCTGTGACAGCCTATGACTAGCCTGAAGTTACCCAGCAAGTTTCATGGTTGGCTAGGGACTAGTCTCGGGGTCTCTCAAGTCCCCAGTCCAACACTCTAACCACTACCACCATACTGGTTCCCATATTGGAGGCTGTTTGCACAACATGAAAGCCTTCCATGGGTCAACCACAGTGAGGTTTAATGTGTAATTTTGAATGTGTAATTGATGCTTAGGGGTTGTTGTGTCACCTGGAAGGCATGAGTTATGCAAAGGTTAAACAAGTTTTAGATATGTTTTAGTGTTGTGCAAGGTTCATTTAATTCTTGTGTAAGCCATGTTCAGCATGCTTGCATGACATGACCATCCCTGTTATAGTAGACACACCTGCTTTTTTATATTCCATTTTCTATTAACATTATTACTGTGAAACACATTAGAGTTTAAAAGTATTCCTGAAAGTGGCCTTCTCTTGCCCACACTGTTGACAATCATGTAAGATCAAAGAAAAATAGCAGTCCTTTATGCCGGCGATCTTAAGACTGCATTCAGTGTGCAGTACCAAATGCACTTAAAGGAGAGTAAATATCATTGCAATCAGTAAGGCACTTAGAAGGACATATGTATAGAATTACTCTGCCCAACTACAGCCCCAGATATGGTTACCTGTGTGAAAAAGTCTTATTGAATGACGTAGAATTTAATTCTTAGTAAACATGCCTCAGATTGGAGTGTAAACGTACAAGTTTTGCAAAGACAATCATATATTCCTGTGCTAATGATTCTACACTCTGAATTATCTTCCAGAACATATGTGTTCTTGCTAATGTGTAGTTTCACTCTTTATTTAGGCCCTTCCATCTCCAGTGAAGAAAGGGAAACCAGTAGAAGAAAGGAGGAAAATGTTTGAGGTATAAAAAGACATGAAAACAAAAGAAACTAAGCTAAAAGCTTTTAAATACAAAGCAAAACCTTCAAACCTTTCCTCCTTATTTCCTTCAACTAGATAACTCTAACTTTTTATGCACTTGCTAACCATCCTAACCAAATTTGATGAAACAATAGTTCATGGTTTAAATCTCTATTTACCTTTCAGGAAGCTGCAAAAAGAAAAAAGCTAGATATCTTTGAGAAAGAAAAACGACAGCATGAACAGGTAAATTAAAGGTTTGGCGCATTCTTTTCTTTTTAATAACCAAATGAAGGAAGTATTAGTTACTGTAGCTTAATTGCTACCATTTCAAAACTTCTAACCCTTGATTTTCAGATCAGTTTCATGAAGGCTGAGCAGATGAGAAGACTTGAGAAAGAAAGGGTAAAATATTTTAGTTTTCACTTTTAACTATAAAATTTGGTTTTCAGAGCTTTTATTGGTTTCCAGGGTCCAGTTTTTACTGTTCTGTTTTCCAGATAGAACGAATGAACAGAGCCAGAGAACAGGGTTGGAGGAATGTGCTCAGCACAGGTGGAAGTGGTGAAATCAAGGTTGGGGTCTACTGCTCAATATGTACAGACACATATAGTTGTTTTAAGTCATAACCTTCAGTTATTTGCATTTACTTGTTTTGCCATCACTAGTACTTCTTAGTAACTTCACACCTTCAGTTGATCATATTCGTGACTTAGCTAGGGTAAGGAGTAGCATAATAGACAATTGAACGTTTATTAATAGCCTCCTCATCCCCACTCTCTTCAAATATTTGCTCTTTAGCACAGGAGTAGGCAACTGGTTGAAGGGTGCAAATCACCATCTATTCAGTCCTCTGCCCACTAAAGTCATGACCTCTGCCCCACCCATTTTACTTTCCCCATGCTGAGAGAGGCATGGCACTCTTGTCTCTGTCTGCACAGAGAAATGGAGACTGCCGTTTCTGGATGAAGCTGCTCTCAGCACTTGCAAAGTCTTTTGTGGCGAACACTGGAAAGAGCAGCTGACTGAGTCCCCATTTATGCCTGTTGCTCACTGTCCTCAGTAGAGATAATGGGGTATTCATCTGCATGCCAGTTGCCCTCCCAATTAAGAATGGAAGCAGTGCACTGGGAATTCCTCCCCTGCCCCTGTAATCTCAAATAGCAGATATGTGTGGATTCCATCCCTTGATTCTGAGAGCAAGATGGGGAACCTTTACAAGCCTACCTAGCCTCATAGACTGGAGGTTCTCCATCCTGCATTAGCCTATAGTAAGATATGGCTTTGATCTAGGTTGTGGGCTCCTTAATAACATGCAACCTGATGTTACTTACGGACAGAGACTTGTGAAAAAGTTTAATACAAAGTGCCATCCATGTTCATTTTTCATATTCCAGAATATGTATATTTTTGTATGAAAGTCTGATAGGATGGTTATAAAAATCAACAAATAAATGTTTTAGGGTAGATGAGTTTCTTTTTAACATATGTTGAAGCATTTATTAATGGATCCTGAGATTTCTGCATTCTGGTTAAAAGAGAGATTCGTAACACTTTTCAACTTCTTTGAAGAGTATGTAATGTTACTTGGATTTTTTTTCCCAGGTAGGTATTAAAAGAATGGGAATAAACACATGAATTACAGGCCTCTATTGCTCATAGTCAAGTAACTGTCAGACTTACACATCTTCTTTGTATCATCAATTAGCAGTATATTACAATATAAAATTATTAAGTTAAATAGTTAAACTGTGTAAACCATTGAGAGAGCCATGTGGTTATTGTGACAGTATACAAAAGTGTTAAATAATAAACTACATTTTCTGAATCTGACTTGTGTTACATTAAGGATACTGCTTATTGGAATCAGAACATTAAAGATTATTCTTAAATTCTTAGGCTCAGTTTTTTGGAGGCGGAGGACCTATTGTGCCTTTACCTGTGCCTGGTCGAGGACCATATGAACATTATCATGCTATTTTTGATCAGATACAGCAACAAAAGGAAAATATAAAAGTAACAGAAGGGAAGGATGCTGAATTGAGAGAAAAGCCTGGTCAAGAACCTGTTGAAAGGTATGTCTGCCTTCATTGAAAAGTGTGGGATGTGTAATTCTTGATGAAAGTAATGAAAACTACTATACATATTTATCTACAGAGGACTTCCAGCTGCAGTTCATGCAGGAGTTTCTAATGGGCCTGCAGTTCACCATCATTCACCTCATGCTGATGCTATTAGGAAAAGAATGAAAAGATTGGAGGAGGTGTCTAGACAAGCCAATGCTAACAGGTTGGACTGATGATGTGTGGATCTGTCCTTTGTGTGTAGGTTTTTGTCACATCTGTTTAATATTAGTTTAATAAACACTGAAGAGTATAATGTGAATTATAAGCATGGGTTCTCAAATATAACTGGTGCTTTAAAGACGCATGCTTGTTGTTCACGCTTTGCCTTTTTCCTGAAGTAAATGTCAACGGAATACCAGTAGTAAGCATGAGATACGAAACTGATCTCAGACTATTTTCAGAGTTTCCTGTGGATTCCATTTTAGGATATATTGAAGATCTGTATGGCCAAATCAGCCCTGCTTGCTGTTCTTTTCTTCCTGGCATATTGTAGTTTCTTACTATAATCAGAAACTTACTGATTTTTCAGGCTGCTTTATCTTGCTTACCAATTATTTCAACCATTGTTATGCCACTCTTCAATATGTAAATATTTCTAAGTAATTAGCAAGATAGTAAGCATGGCAAGAATCATAAAAACATAAGGAATTTAAAACTTCAGCAAATAGAAAAAAGTAGGAAAGCAGCATTAAAATACTGTAATCAGAGATTAAGTTCTCATAAAATGAAAAAAAAAATTACCTGGCACTGAAAAGACATTGTATTAAATGCCAAGCTAGCCTCCCTGTTCAAGAGAATTCTAGAGACAGGGCATCACAGATTATGCCTGTTCCCTTGTCTGTACCTTTCTCACCTCTTAGGGCAAGGGGGGCTAGAGAAGAGCGTATGAAAATGAATGAAGCATACAGGCAAATTGATGTATGAGTAGCTGAGCCTTGTGATCAGCTGATCCTTAGGAACATAGCTCTACCAGCAAACTGGACAATGGGAATTCAAAAAACGCAAAGAATCCTACCCATCATCCTCATGACCTATAAAGTTGTTGAAGACCCTCATCTGTGAGCTGGCAATCTTGGGATTCAGTGTTCAAGGTCTTATTTATGACAAAACAAAAATACTAATACAGGTTAAAGAGACCAAAGCACTCAAGATAACTCTTTTAGTATTAAAGCTTATTTTTAGTGGGTAAAATCCAACAGTATTTATCTGCCAACGCAATGGACACCCTTGGCAGAATAGATCACTAGCTATTTGAGTAACCAGCATGCCCGAGTATTACAGTTCTTTAACACTCATTCCTGTTCCAGTATTGTTTCTGCTAGGAGAAGGGTGAAGTTAGTCTTCACTTAATGAAGCACCTAATTTGTTTATATTTTATCCACTAAAATATATTCAATGGACACAACTACATTATTGCCATCTGATCTCTAGAGTTCCCATAATCAATGGGTCCTATGTACTTCACACATGGTACAAGTGGGGTTGATTCTTTACCAGTCTAGGGTTCTGCTTGTGCAATATAGTAAGCAACAGAAATTAGCAGATGATATTTTGTAGAATTTGAATTTAAGCTCTTATTTTATATGGACAGTGAGACATTGCTGCTTTCTAATCCCTAAGACCTTTCTTCTTACATATGTATTGCTAATAGAACATTATAATAGATGTCTACCTTTAAAGGGAGAGAAAGAGCTTGCATTATTAAATAGTCACACCTTGGTTCTATTCTAATTTGATTTTAACTTGATTTCAATAGGGAAGATATTTACATGCTTACATTGCAACATGAAAGCTTCACAGATGCTAGTTCTGTATGGCAATTTTTTCTTCTGAGAGTTCAAGCAAGGATTCATCTCACTGCTTTTATTAGGAATGCAATACAAATTACATGTATCCCCTGTTGACAGTACTGTTCTGTACCTTTTCCAGCTTCTAAATAATCTTCATGGGTAACTTCACATAAAATATAGCCTATAATAGTCTAATATATTTCTAAATTAAATGCATGCAGCATTGACCTGTAACTCTGTATGTGAAAATGCTAAACACACGAGAAGAGGAAAAGCTCTAGCCTCACATTCACTGTACTCTGTTCATAAGAAGGCAACTTTCTGAAGGAGAGCACCTCCTGGATTCATAGAGGCTCCACTGACTGAGAGCCAGCGTGGTGTAGCGGTTAAGAGTGCAGGGCTAGGACTCGGGTGATCTGGGTTCTAGTCCCTGCTCAGCCATGGAGCCAAGTGGATGGCTTAGGGCAAGTCACAGACTCTCCGCCCAATCTGTCTCACAGGGTTGCTGCCGTAGGAATAAGATCAAGAGCAGTAGGAAGAGAAAAGGAAAAAGGTGGGATATAAATCAAATAAATTGCAGAAGCTGGTTTTACAACATTCTTAATCATATGGAGAGTCACCATGAAGCTCCCTCCTCAGACTGTTGCCTTGCACAAGAAGAGAGTGACAAATGTGAGGAGAGAGAGAGCACGTGTGTAGATGGCATATCTCTTGCAATTTTGTTTGTCAGCAGATCAGTTTGATAGATTCCATTATTTCAAGCAGGCATGTTTCAAACAAGGTATAGATTCTTTGAAATAATGTGTACATTTGGCCATCATGGTAAGCTGTGGATAAGCAAAAATTGGAGTGAAAGCTTCTGAACTCATTTCAGAATGAGGAAGTATGTTAGCCCAAGCCTTGTTGTGGCTTATTCACAGGATACTAAATGTAACTATGGTTAAGTGTGACAACACAACATTGTCAGTTTTTTCCTAGTGCTACAAACACAGTGGCCAGAAGTGAGCCTTAGAAATAGTGCTAATACTTTTTCAGCAAACTCAAGTCATCTGCTTATAAATTTTGAAGGTTACTCAGTAACCAGAAATTCTACTTTGTAGAGAACAAAAGATAATTATTATGGACCCAGAACAATTGTGTGATAGCAGTATATCTGCCACCAACATTTGGGACACAGAGCAATATTTGGGTGCCAAGCTATGGTTTGCTTGTGTTGAGATTTGGTTTTGAATATAAATTGAGCCACCATTTGAAACCTGTAAGCAGTTGTAGTGGTACTAAAGTTGAGAGTGGCAGGAAGGAAACAAATGTGGAATGAAAAAAAAGAGTTATGGCCATTATCTAGTTAAAAAAAAAAATCTAAATGATTTAAGCGCTAAATGATATTGCTCCTGTTCTGCTTGCATACATTTATTCCAATGTTTAAACTGGAATCCATTTTTTTCCCATTTTAAACTGTCTCAAAGCAGTTTAAAATCATGGTGTATTTCTTACTACTGTTGATTTTTTTGCCCTTCATTAATGCTTATAGGGATGTAAGTGAATTAAACTCTTGCAATGCTTTACTCAGGCAAAAAGGATGGGTAGCTGCAGAAAGAGCTAAACAAGTTGAGGAATTCTGGCAACGGAAGCAAGAAGCCATGCAAAACAAAGCTCGTGCTGAAGGACACATGGTATGAATTTTGACATTCCTATTGTCCAAGTGCTTGAATTGTCTTTAATAGTTCAGTACTATAAACTTGTAAAATGTATTAACAACTTTGGAACAAGTCAATATTATTTTTTAAATCTTGGAATTTTATTCCATGAAAAAGAAGAAAGTGACTTGTGTTCTACTTATTCTTAGGAAATTTTATTTCCAATATGTCTTTTGCCTTTTTTGTTTTATTGTGGCTGGTGGTCTGAGCTTTTGAGGTGGCTGTTTAGCTGCAACTATCAAAATGCAAAGAAGTACCTTTTTAGCTGCAATCTTGTATACACCCAGCAAGGAAGTATTTTCTTTCAACTCAGATTCAAATTTATCTATTCGTATATAGTCATCAAATCACCACAAAAGAAATGTTTTTCAAAAAAATACTATCAATTCAACGATAATATGCATACATAAAGATAAATCCAGATAGAACAAGCTGATTCTTTGGCTAAAGGTTGTGTTAATAAACTTCAAGCTGTGATTCATTTGCATGACAGGTTTTCTGAACCAGGCCATTGTCTTTCTCTCTAGTATATACCATGAATAATTCTTGTGCTGTGGTATTTTTATTACTTATGGATAAAGACCAGTATCTAAACAAAGAAATTGAATTAAAGACACTTGCAAGTTCTCAGCTTAACTGTTTAAGCAAACAGTTTTGAAGCAAAACTTAAACACTTTGAAAGTTGTTGACTTCTAGAAAGAAGTGTCTTTTGATATAATGGAAGTGGTTTCTCTGTTGCACATCTTTTCCATGTTACAAATATAGGTTTCTGTTATATGCTTTATAGTGTATGCTGGCAGATAAGTAGTGCACTCATAGTAAATGTGTCTGCAGCAAAAATAAGGACTGGTCCAATGTATCTGAAGGTCAGGGGTCAGGGCTGGTTTCCACAAAAAGATGCCAGTATGCCAATAAAATACATGAATTTTATGTATTTTTATGTACCTCTGTATACATAAAGCAGCCCTCTGCTTTCTGAAAATGACCTTCAACATGTGAGATAAATCAAGGAGATGGCAATCATCTGACTGTTTGCATGTGTTCAAAATCCTTCTGTGTATGAAGAAGAAAAAGTAATGCTGTATTTTCAATATAGGAGGAGCAACTACAGTGGTATATCTAGCTGTCATCTGAACTTCTGTTGCTTTTCTTATGTGAAGAGACTTTGTGTCCATTCCTTCTGCTCTGATAGTGAAAGCTGTGCTATGTGTGTCAGGCTTATCGAGGTTAGCTGGCATTGTATCCATGTGAGTGGAAGGACGTTCACACAATCAATTTTTCTCAGTTTCTGTTTCTCCTGTGCACAACCCAAAAACTGTCTCCAGAGGGTGTGGGAGCTCCAGACCAGTTGGGGCTGACATGTGAGGGGAGGGACGTGCTCAGAATGAAGTGGAGGAATCCTTTGCCTGTCACTAGATCCCTCATCTGATTTTGAATGATTTCTTCCTGACACTGCATTCCCATATGACACAGGTGCTACAGGAAGGATTCCTCATCCTCTGGAGAATGTTTTAGGAATGAGGGGAAGAGAAATATTGGGTGTGTGAGCTGTCTTCCACTCAAAGAATCATTGAATGCAGACAACTCACTGCCATGGGGCAAGTAAATGCATATTACTTTCCTTCACTGTAGAGGAGGTGGTTACATTAATGTAGTCTTAAAATGCTACTGCAAGTAAATTAGTATGAAAGATGTGAGCAGTCTGATGACTTTGATACATTTTCATTTATTCATGACTTGCAGATAAGCTGCTGATATCAATTTGTGCATACAGCACAGGTCTTGTACTATTTTTGGCAACACAGCTCTGTGTACTACAGTGAGCCACGTTGAGGAAATTCTTGAATATTTTGAAACATAATCAAGTTTGGATGCTGAAATGGATATAAAAAACCTATCCTTGTGAACTTTGCCTCTCATTGCATGCAGCGAGAGGTTTAGCTTTATTTTACAGCCTACTTAAGAATGGGGAAAATAACTTTTCTTAGTTTATCTATATTGTTGATGGACTCTTGACTTCAATCTTATATCCCAACAAGTTGGGCTCAGAATTTGCTCTGATAACAAAGCATATTTGACTGACTACAGAGCAAATTGTCCTATTGCAAGATCAAAATTTATACTGCCTCCTACAAAAAGGAAACCTCTCCGAGTATTACCACCTATTTGTGGTATTGGTAAGAATTTGCCTGTTTAAGCAATAAATTAGCTTTTCAGAATTCTCAAGTGCACTGCATGAAATGTATATAAACACTTAGGTTGCATAGCATTAAGCTTTAAAACTATGAGCTGAATGTATCTCATCACAGTAAACTATACTTATGAGAAGATTTCAGAGTATGTCTTCAATAGACTCTTACATGGGAAAAAATAACAATGAAATGTTATTTTGATATAAACCAAGTTCTTACACTTTTATTAAATATGCAATTCTAAAGTAATCATCAGTTGTGGACTCATGGTAATAAATTTCCAACTGTGTATCTCATTCAGTATAAAAATAGTACAGAAAGCTTTATTCCCAGGAAATTTTGGAATCCTAAAGTTATGACTAAAAGATTAGACACACAGAAGCAAGAAAAAGGAACAAACCTGGGTAATTAGATATTTAAGAATGCATTTTCACTTTGAGTTATCTATTCCTTTATGATGACCAAATGCTGATAAAGTTAGATAATGTGATGGCCCCAGCTATTCTTGAATTTAATACATTAAATGGTGAACAGGATACACTGCAAAACCCGACAGCTATCTATGGAGGCAGGCCTATTTCTTCAAGAGGAAGGAAAGCCAGAAACAAGGAGGAAGAGGTATGCTTCCTGCATGTTTGCTGCCTTCATTACACATATGCAACCTCATTTTCTGCATGGATTGTCATCTATAATGAAAGAAAAGGGCTTCTCTTTAAAATTGTAATTAATATCAATCTCCAACTTCTAGAGGAGGCCCCTTGCTGATTTAACATGCTGTTATTTAAGGCTGTCACCAGAAACAATTCATCCTCCCTTAAAACACAATTAGCCATTGTTACCTTTAATAGATGTATCTGTTCCATGCTTCCTAATCTACCAGTGATGGATCAGCAAAACTCACTTAGAAATATATTGGTGCAATTCTTCCATAAGAGAGTTGTCCCACTGATTTACAATAGTATGAAATTTGCACATTTTAAAACTTTCCTCTGACGTAAATGCCTTTTTTCTTTTTTCTTTTTCTTTCAGGAATACTTGGCACGACTAAGACAAATTAGACTTCAAAACTTCAATGAACGCCAGCAAATTAAAGCTAAACTTCGTGGAGAAAAGGCATGTTCCAGAACAAGTAAAAAAATCCTACACCAGTTTTTGGAGACAAAATACATTTAATTTATACATACATAAATACACTTAGTTTATACATTTTCCCCAAAATCACGCTACCCAGATTATCAATTTCAGATTTGCTTTGTCTTTGTGATACCTTAGCTAAGTAATCAACTCCACAGTGGTGGAGTTTGCTCCTGGCAGTAAAAACTTTGCTCCTGGCATTACTAACATACATTCCAGTGTCTTAGGAAGCTGTCTTTCTGGAAGCTGAAGCTGGGAGTTTAGAAAATGTAAGGCATATATTTCTGCTATTGAGCTGTCTTTTAACTTGTATTAAGCCAAGTCTTGCACTAATTATGCAACAACTTGGAAATTTGGGGTGGTATTACCTATTCCTCATAGCTAGGCTGCAAAAACCAGTTTTACCCTGTAGTGTTCAGTCCACATGCCTTCTGCAGAGTTATCTTAGAGTGAGTGTTTCAGTGAATACTGTATACTAAGATGTCTTTTACATCTACCCAAAGATTCCTGTCTCAGTTCTTTTCTGTTTTCAACATGGTAGCAGAGCTCTCACTTTAAAGTGTATAATGCATAAATGTATATTAAAACGTAATGTTAGGAGCTATAGTTATTCTGATAGGGTTACTTTGAACTTAAATAATTGTAATAACTTCTTAAATACTTGTAAATGCTTCTCTGTTTCTGTCACATGCTCATTTGGGATTAAAGTATTGAGATTTCCTGGTAAATCCTCAAAATCAAATGTTTCAGCATTCATCCAACTGTTAGAAGGAGTGTTTAAAATATCATGGATAGTCTCACAGAGTTCCATACAGTAAAAGGATAACAACGATTTAAAATTTGGCTATAGCTACAGTGCTTTCTTCTTCTATTAGCCTGTTAAATTCATAAATTTGACTTTAACTATTTCACAGAGTGAAAGTGGTGGTTCCCCCATACATGAAATTAATGAAGAAGCAGAACTACGGCGCAAAAAAATTGAAGCACTAAAGGTAATCCTGAAGGGGAATGGTGGAGGAAACTTTCTGAGCTGAAAGCAAAGAACTGCATGTGGAAATAAAGCAGCCAGTAGCACTGTTTCATGAACAAATAGTTGAGTAGAGATGGTATGACTGGGCTTTGTGGATTTGTGTGGCGTGTGTGTGTGTGTGAGGGAGAGAGCATAAACCACTGCTTCAGAACGTTTTCTATGAGGAATGTGGCTTTTACATTTACATCTACATCTGTGCATGTATTAATGGATTTCTTATTCAAATTTCAAGACTCTGAGATGACAGTAAAGAAATAATAAATAGAACATAAAATGTAATAATATAAATTTATCATACTTAAAATGTATCCAATCAGATCATACTAAGAATCCTCATAATGATCATTATGTCAGAGAAGATTAAAATTAAAAGGAAAGTTTAGAGTTACACACACAAAGGAGCTGTATGGACCAAGGGAGTGAATTCCACATAAGCACAGCCACTGCTGCGAATGCCCCATTCCTGGTATTTACTAGTCTAATATATCTGAATGACAGCACAGGGACCCAAACCTGATTTCAGTGCCTGGGAAGGCTTGTAAGTATGCAGTTGGCTCTTGCGCTATAATTTCCCATCACTGTCCAACACTTCCATTGCCTAATGATCACATGCTGTATTCCTTACCAAGTGCCGCAGCATCAATGCATAAGCATGATACCTAAGTGTAACTCTAGCCTGTGATGTGACAAGTTTGGAGTGTAATAGTACAGTGTCCTAAAGATCCATAAACAAAATACAAAAATGTTATCTTCCCTTTGGGGTTCTGAGGGTTCAAAAATCTAATACAAAAATATCAGAGAGAATATGTAGAAAATCACATACTTGAAGATCAAGTTGATGATTATGACATTTTTATGGACTTGAAACATCAAAATTTTATCATATTTCCAGGCACAAGCAAATGCACGAGCTGCAGTCTTGAAAGAACAGCTAGAACGAAAGAGAAAAGAAGCTTATGAAAGAGAGAGGAGAGCTTGGGAGGAACATGTAAGCATTTTCTATCCACTTACGGGAGTTCTCCTTCAAGGTTTAAATTGGGAAAATATTGTTTTTAATATTCTCTTAAAAACAGAGAATAACCATATACTGCCATGGCGGTATGGCACCAAAGTAGGCAGATAGCATTACAGTATTCTAGTGTGGAAAATACAATTTATGGGTTCTTTGGCAGGTTCATGCTGTTAGGACCTTAGAAACTCTGGTTGGGAAGACGTTATGTATTGCATTAAAGGTATCTTATTTGACTTAAGCTTCACTTGCGTCAGAGGGTCTTTTGGAGTTTTGGTTCATTCCTGTATCCTTTGGTGGTCCTATACATCCTAACTTATGATTCAGTGCTTGTACTTTGACTTGCTCCTCAGTTTTGTGTTCTTCGTCCTTTAGTCTTGAGAATATTTTTGATACACATTATTTTTTAACTTTTTTTAGGATGAAGTAAAACAGTACTGAATCCAGGCATTTACACTTGTTTGACTTAGGTTATTACCCAGACATTATTTGTGATTGCCTTTAACCCCTTCCCTTTATTATGCAGAGGATTTTTTCCACTTAGTGCTAGGGTATAGAAAAGGCAAGAACCGGCAAGGTTCTCTTCCAAGTAACAAGACAGGCTGGTGTAAAATGAGTAACAGTTCTCTTCTCCTCCAAGCCTCCTTCAATGTGTAGCAAATCCGAGGCGCTGGGCATGGAGATATAGTGGGAGGAATAATTAACTGGACCCTTGGCTTATACCACTCTGATTTATCAATAATAGTTCCAGAAAGCATCCTCCACCTCAGTGGAACAGGGCAACAAATTCTACTTATGTAAAAGTCAAAATAACACCTCTTTAAAAATGAAAACCAGTAGGAAAATTTGGTCAAGCAATCGGTCTGAAGCTTTTCCTTTTAAAAATCTTTTGCAGCTTTCCATTTTTTGCGTTCTCTAATATTCCATTATTGTCACAGGATTTAATAGATTAATATTATACCCACAGTTGGTAGCTAAAGGGATAAAGAATCCCATGGGAGCTGCAGAATTGAGTCCTCCACATAGCAAGCAAGAAGTTGGAGGTTCTCCTACCAGGGTATTGAAGTCCAGCATACCGCACATCATCTCTATGACTTCAGCTTTGAAGGAAGTGGGTGTGGTAGGTACTATATTTGAAAGAAGTAGTTTTAGATGAAAGTTTAACTTTGTTGCCAAGTAAGATACTTCAAATGATTTTTATCTTCTCTTTTTTGTACTTGTCAAGATTTCGTCTTTGCAGAATAAATGCAAAGTTGTTGTTGTTGTTGTTGTTATACTTAATTTATATACCACCCCGCAGCTGAAGCTCTCTGGGTAGGTATCTATTTTTTACCCCGTTCACCATTAAAAAAAAATCTCTAGTGGATTGGATTGGATCTGATCAGTTTGCAAACTTGTATAGTTCCCACTCTTTGTATTCATGTCTGCAATCTGATATTCCCAAGGCTCACATTAAGAGTGAAATAAGTGCATAGGCCAGGGAAGGGGGGAGGGGTCAATTTATAGTTTATATGCTTTTAAACACAGTAATTATTCTTTCTCTGTGAAAAATTAGCATGGACGTTGACTTTCTGTTTCAAAGATTAAAGCTGAAATTCTGCCTCCAAGCAACATGTAAGAGTAATGCCAAAACATTCACTGTACAACTAATAATGGCAACTGTTCTTTTCACACGTGCTCTTATTTCTAGTCACTATTATATTTGACACAATCTCTCTTATTTTCTGGATTTTAAAGGTCGAAAATGCAGCAGTTGCCCAAGAAACCCCAGCAGAAATAAAATCAGACATTGGTGTTCAGGTAAGTTTGATTACATGGTTTTTGCTTTCTTCTTATGCTTCAGAGTTTTACTTTTGTAATTTGTTATTTCTTCCTGCTTCCAGAACAAGCGAGAAATACTCCGCAGACTGAATCAAAACTTTAAAGTACAGGAAGTTGTGAAAGAAAAAAGTGAACCTAAAAGTATCTGTGAGGTAGCTGTCACTGATGAGAATGACCAGCATGAAGGAGAAAAGTGCCCAATTTTAGCTGATCGTAAGAAATGGGAGGCAGGGGAACAACTGGTGGTTCCTCTAGCACGGTTAACAATGGAAGAATCCTTCTCTGGTACAGAAGGTGAGGTACCTTTGTCTAAGCCTGTTTCTCTGTTATTTGTAGAGAACTATCTAGCTGTGTTAACTACATCAGATAATCACCTTGCAACGTATTTCCTCAGACTTGTATGGCTAAGATTTTAGCTCATGTGGCTTGAATATGCCCAGTTTTTGTCCCCTCTGTTTTGAAGCAAGTCTCCATGTATACAAGTTTGCTTCTGTCTATTCGTCCCCACCCCAGCACAGTACTTAGCAACAGTGTGCCACAATCAGGAGTAAACAAAAGGAGGACCTGTCAAAACATTTCATGTTCAATTATTGAATGTATCACAGACCAATGACACCTTTATCTTGTGTGCGGAAGGGAGCCAAAGCAGACCAGTGTGCTCCACTCCCCTTTGCTCTTTCCTTCTAGTGCCCTTTTCCACTGCTGGTTGGAAATCTCTCGAAGTAAAACTCTTTGGGTCTCTGGCATCCTCTTTTAGATAATGCGGGGTTGGCTATTAGATATTGGATTATTAACCTAATAGTAAAAGAGATCACAGTGCTTCAAGCAACACAGTTGAAAGGTTTACTGGAAAAGACTGTTAATATGAACTTCAGAAAGGATACATACAACACAGGGAAAGTATATGACCAATAGAGAGTAAAGCAATGAGGCATAAATACATCCAGCTAACCTATATCCCTGTTTCCTCTAAATCTTAATCAGCAATATTTTACTGTCATAGTTCCAAGTTCTCTTCCTTTCCTGTAGGACTCTAGGCCTCTTTCTATGTTCTTTCTTTTCTGATATTTCCCCTGTATGATTTAATGCTTTCTGCCTCAGTCTTTTATATCTCAAAACAGCCTATTTTCTACCCTCTTCAATAAAAGGTGTGTTTTCTCTCCTGCCATTTTTCCCAGATAGCATCTTTCAGTTGGTTGAGATATACCAAAACGCATTACAAGTTTAAGTTATAGGGAGTTATTAACAACAACTTTTAAAATGTCTCCTTTTCATTACTATTTGACAGCTCTGAGACCGAAAAATAAAGGAGATAGCAATAGTTCTTAAATTCCTATAGTCAACATTTGGCCATCTGGGATTAATTACTTGATATTTTTCCCAAGAACAGTGCAATGGTAGTGAATGATTTTTTAAAATAAAAATTGGAATTGGTTATTTCAATGATTTGTAAATGCATGCACAGACCATTTTGGGTTTTTTCCTGCACACTTTTAAAATAAATGTTAAAATGTTGTCTTTTAAAATATATATTGATAATTGAGGTTCTCCATTCAGAGGTTAGTCTCTTATCTTTGATTGTAAATACAAATCAAAGCCCTTCATTAGAACTCGTTAAAAATAATTTTGTGCTAATGTGTTCAATATTTCCTGACAGCACATACATTAGGAGAGGTTATTAAGCTAGATGTTGCTGAACACCATCGAAAAGTCTGGGGCAAAAGCCCCACTGATTCAGTGCTGAAGATTCTTGGGGAAGCCGAATTACAACTTCAGACTGATCTGCTAGATGACTTAACTATTACTAATGGTAAGAAGTAATTTAAGCCACAAATAAGGTTTAAAATCTATATAGGGTTTTGTATTGCAACATTTTTAATGTATTATGGTTTTAATAGATTAATAATTTTCAGATCTTTGATTTAACAGGAAGATAAACCTTACATTTGCAGGAGGTCTGTTCTCCAAGCAGTAGCAACTCAGATCAAGGCACCTTTGCACCTTGATCCATTGTCTAGTATTTAATTTCTCAGCTCTGCCTAAGACGATGTATTAAATTAAGTTTAAAATCACAAGAAGGAACCACATTTGGTGAAATTGTGAAAAAGAAACTTCCAGTTGTTTTCTGTTGCAATGAAAAATTGAAATACAATTGGAATAGCTAAATCATAATTTTAAGGCATACTTCATTTCACTGAAGTATTTTCAAGAATATTTAATACTGACTTGATTTGTGCATCTTTAAAATTACTGGGTGAAACAAAATCTCTTGATCTACATGGAGCCATCAAAATCTACAAAATGTATAATTGCACTACATTGCAATTTCTTGAGGTTAAAAAGTGATGTAGATAATGACTGAGTTCTCACAGCAAGCTATTGTTGATAATTCTCCACTGTGGGTTGTTGCGTTCTGTCCACTTGGACTGTGTCTTGCAGGGTAGCTTTTCTTTGAGCAACAAGTCACCCTGACAAACAATGATTTATTGTATGGTTTGTTTAATCCATCCATGGGTTGTCATGTTATCTGAACCCAGGTGATTGATCCCATCACAGATTAAGCGAAGTGATGACCAAGCTCTTTCTTTCATGAGAGCATTTTCCCCTGTCTAATACCTGTAGTCTTTCCTTGCCAATTTCCTTCAATGTTTCTGCTCTCAAAGGAAGCACCAAAGTGAAATAGGTAACATATTAGAAAACTGA